TGGATGGTGACGGATGAGTGATGACCATGATCTGTGAGATTGGAGCGAGGACGATAGAGAGGTGGGTGGTGATCGGTGAAATTAGAGAAAGAGAACGAGAGAGCAAGAGAGAGGTGGGTGTTCGGTGTGTTGCGGTTGCCGATTCTGTCGTCTTGTCGAGGTAGAAGGCCCGATGAAGTGATGATGAAGGAGAACTAGAGAAGATGGAGCGAAGGATGGGGAGCTAAGAAGGCGTCGATAAAAATTGATTTTGATTTAGTTAAGTTCGCCGAGTTAGGGTTTTAGGGAGTTAGCATTTATGAATCTTTTTTTTTTACTTTTAATTTTTTCGGTTTTCGGTGAAAACCAATTTTATTTTTTTTCAAAAACCGAACCGAGTCGAAATAATTTTGATTTTTTGGTTTGGTTTTTAATTTTATAAATTTAAGTTTGAAACCGAACCAAAATACATAATTCGGTTCGGTTTCATTCGGCTTTTGGTTAACCAAACCGTTTGTTCACCCCTAGAAGTCATGGTGAGTCAAGTCATAAGTCTTGTTGAAATCTATTATTTGTTTTCCTGCTCACTTGATGCAACACCCACAAATGGGTTGTTTCATGGAAGATAGTAAATAATTATATTGCTTTGGTTTTCTCCGAAATTATGCATCGTTAAAAACACAAGCATTAACACACGTTTCAAAAAATGAATCAATTAGTATTTTTTGTTTTAGAAATTAATTATTTAGTTGCTATGATTTTAAATTTTTTATTGATATAATCTTTTTCATCTTTTATTTATTTTGATTTTTTATTTTTAGAAATACAAAAAAATAAGTAAAATTTTTGGAAAGATTAATGAGAAAAGATGATATTTCTTGAAATAAAATAACATTAATTAAACATAATCTGTGCATTATATAAATTCTAATTTGTAATAATAATTGATTATGTTAGAAACTTCAAGTTATGGATAAGAGTTGGATGACTCTTTCAAGAATTCGTGAAGCATGTATGAATGGAGTTGATGATTTTTTAGACAAGGCATTCCGGAGAGCGACTCAAGGGAAAGAGATTCTTTGCCTTTGCAAACAATGTTGCAATTGTTATTGGGAGTATAAAATGATTGTTCATGATCATTTGATTGTAGATGGATTTCTTGAAGGGTATAATGAATAGGTTTTCCATGGAGAAGGTTTATCATCAAGAATGCATATTGAAGATTCTCCGTTTGATGATGTGGGACTAGAATATGTTGATGACATGGATGGAATGCTGCATGATGTCTATAGAAATGTTATCGAAGAAGTTGCCAACACCCAAGAAGTTAGAGAAGGCCCAACCAAGGAGGTTGAGAACTTTTATAAGTTGGTGGAGGAAGGAAAGCAAGAGTTGTATCTAGCGTGTAAGAATTTCTCGAGGCTTTCTTTCACCATTTGGTTATATCTTTTTAAGTGCCTCCATGGACTTAGAAACGTTGCATTTGGTGATCTTTTGGAGTTATTGAAAGAGGCTTTTCCTAAAGAAAGACTTCCAGAATCCTTCAACAAAGGAAGAAAAACAATTAGAGATTTAGGTCTTGATTACCAAAAATTCACGCATGCCCAAATGACTGCATGTTATTTTGGAATGAGCATGAAAATGCTACGATTTGTCATATTTGTGGTGCATTTAGGTATGTATTGGATGATAATTTTAATGGAGATATGAATAGCCATTCAACTAGTACTTACCGAATCCTCACTAAGGTGTTAAAATACTTCCCTTTGACACCTAGGCTTCAAAGGTTGTTCATGTGTGAAGAAATAGCTACAATAATGATATGGCATTCAACGGAGCATCCAAATGATGGAAATCTAAGACATCCTACCGATGGGAAAGCTTGGAAGGATTCTAATCATCTTCACCCTATGCTTGCACAATACTCTCAAAATTTTAGATTGGGTCTTGCTAGTGATAGATTCAATCAATTCCAAACTATGAGCAGTTCTCATAGCACTTGGCCGGTGGTGTTAATCAATTATAATGTGTCGCCATGGGTTTGAACAAAGCCCGAATACCGTTTGTTGTCCATGATAATTCCGAGCCCTAAATCTCCCGGAAAAAGACATTGATGTCTTCATGCAACCATTAATTCAAGAACTCGAAGAATTTGTGGGAGGTTGGTGTTGATACCTATGACACTTCAATGAACCAAACGTTTCGCATGCATGTAGCCTTACGGACAATTAGTAATTTTTCAGCCTATGTAATGCTTGTCTAGATGGAGCACTAAAGGAAAGTTGGCATGCCCTAAATGCAATTATGACACATGCTCCCAATATCCGAAATACGGTAGGAATACATGTTATATGGGTCATCGAAGATTTTTAGATGAGCACCATTCATAGCGATTTGATAAAAAATCTTTCAATGGAGATGTGGAGTTGAGAGGAACCGATATCGTTATCGAGGGCTGAAGTTTTAGATAAGTTATCTAATTTCAGCAATGTCTTTAGGAAAATACAAAAGAAGAAGACGATAAAAGTGATGATCCATGGAGGAAAAAGTCCATCTTTTTTGAATTACCATATTAGGAGCATAATACATTACACCACAATCTAGATGTAATGCATATAGAGAAAAATGTATGTGATAATATGTTGGGGACATTGTTAGATATTCCCGGGAAGATAAAAGATCATTTAAATGCAAGCTTTGATCTATAAGAAATGGGTATAAGGAAGGAGCTTCAACCTTTTCAACTGAATGAGGATGGGAAGATTGGGTTAGCTAAAGCTTGTTTTTCTATGACACCTAAAGTGAAAATTCTATTACGTACAGTTTTTAAGGATGCAAAGTTACCATAAGGGTATGCATCAAATATTGCACGATGTGTACAAGTGGGGGAGAAAAAAATTTCAAGGTACAAGAGCCATGATGCTCATTTTATCATGCATTATTTGCTTCAAGTTGCTATTAGAAAAACATTACCAAAGAATGTTACAATTGCCTTAATTAAATTGAGTGATTTCTTTAGTAGTATATGTAGTAAAGTTGTAAAGCTATAAGAGCTTGAGCAATTATAACAAGAAATTATTCGGATACTTTGTCGGCTTGAAATGAATTTTCCTCCTAGTTTTTTTTTTTTTTTGATATAATGGTGCATTTGCCTATCATTTAGTGTCCGAAATTAAACTTGGTGGCCCGAGTGCATTGTCGTTGGATGTATCCGATTGGGCGAGACTTATATAAGTTAAAGTTATATATTCATAATCGAAGTCATCTAGAAGAATCCATAGCGAAGGGTATTTGGTCGAGGAATGCTTGATTTTTGCTCAAGATATATGCATGATAATGTGAAGACAAGATTTAGTAGATATTGGAGAAATGATGATACAGCCACAATTATTGAAGAATCATCACCTATTTTTCCTAAAATAGGTCACTCCATAGGGGGAAAAAGGAAGAGGAAAGGTAAAGCATTCACTTTAGACTATCAATCTTTAGCACAAGCACATCGTTATGCCCTGTTCAATTATGGAGACAAACATGTTGAGGATTATATCGAGTAAGACAATTTCATTAGTGTGTAATCTAGTTTCTTTTGCTTGTTTATGGGGTTACACATGTTTCATGATGTTTATGGTGATCTTTTCAATGCAGAAAGCACCAAAATTGCATTAACAATCAAAGTAGATCAAGTAGATGGGCAAGAACACAAACCCATAGCTAAGATTTTACGTTTTGGTTTGAAGAGAAAGTGTTAAATGAGCAAGTGCTCGATCATATATTGTAGTTGTCTAAAGGACCAAATCCTATAGGAAAGAGATATATTAGGTATTTTATAAATGAATATCACTTTCACACTAGGAAACGCGATGCAAGATGCAAAACACAAAATAGTGGAGTCACTTTGCAAGCATTAACTCCTAGTTTAGCAATTGCTAGGGACCAAAATCATGTCGTTAGAGATGTCACATACTATGGCTCAATAGATGAAATAGTTGAAATTTATTATTGGAGTCATTTTAGTGTTATCTTATTTAGGTGTGTTTGGTTTCAAGTTGAGAGAGATAAATATGGTCTTACTTGTGTAAATTTTAAGAAGTTATGTTACTCGGATGATCCTTTTGTTATGGCTTCTCAAGTGCATTAAGTTTTCTACGTTCAAGATCCTATTATGGAAGGCCTTCATTATGTTATGAAAAAGGTTCCTAGAGATTTATTTGACCTTTAACAATCCAATTGTCCGAGCATTCAAGAAGCTTTCCGGAGGGAACATAATGACTTTAACAATGATACGTATGCTACATGTGATGATGACCCCATTAGATGGGCTAGAGAAGATGCACTTGCTGAAACTCTACATGTTCCTCCACATATTTTAGAAGCTTAACAAACAAATATTGTAGTAGAAGAGGATTCTAATGTAGATGATATTGATTGGGCTTGGATGAATGATATTGATTAGAGTATTAAATTACTTTTAGTTTATATTTATGTTGATTTCTTCTTGTACTCGAAATCTAATTATATAATGTTTAATTGGATGATACTCGATTAGATGGGCATTCTATTGTGTTGTTTATTTTTTATTACATTTGCTTGGTATGAACCTATATTTTTTACACTCTTAAAGCAACAAATTGGCTTTGGATGAGTACACAATAAGAGATTTGCTTGTGTGGACGGTACGGAGTCAAACATCTTTTATATTTTTGATGATCAAGACTTTATCCTTTTATGTATGAAAAAAAGGTCGACATGCTAAAAACAAATATGTTCAACAAAATATGGTGTTTTGTTGGTCCTTAATTGGTTTTTTCATGTGCACACGTCCTTTTTCATATGCTAAAAACTAATATTGTACCTAAACTGATATTTCATTTGTTTTTGGTGTTTTATGTTTATAGGTTATAAAATTTCAAACATAAAATCTACAAACAAGTCTAGACTTGAAAAAGGCGACAAACAAGGTAAACTTCAATATTCTCTTCGGTGAATGCTGCAGACAAATTAGCAACGAGTAAGTCCGTTACCATCTTTCTTAAACCGGCGTGCTAACGAGCACGTTGGCCTGCGGGTTGGCGCGCATGTTGGCTCGTGTGTCGGCTGGCCCGCCGGCTCGCACGCTAGCCCGCTGGCATGTGGGTTGGTTTGCTGGTGCGCTAGCATGAACACCGGCCTATGGGTCGGCATGCTTCGGTAGGCCCGCTAGCTCGCTTGGCCGGCGTGCTCGGTGCGCTAGCATGCACACTCGGCCTCGCAAACTTTAGTGCTAAATAAGTTTTAAGTATAGAACCTTTGAAAATATTTTGTCCATATATCTTATGCATCCTTTAGCACTAAATATGATTATAGTAATAATTTCAATCTTTCTTATTTTGGTTAATAATTTCTGAATTTGTATAACGTGTGCTCTATTTTCTTCTTTTTTCAATCAACTTCTAGCATCAATCAATTCTAGTCAAAGTCTCTGCCATGGAGACTTGTCTCGACCACATATTCAAAGTTGCACTTTTTATCAGCAACTCAAGTTTACATGTTTAATCTTTCAATGATGAGGAAATACATATACATTAGAAATTCGAATGGCATTCATTTTTGTTTTGGTTATCTTCCGTTATTTAATTGATGGTATTCAATCAAATTGCTAAATGTAATTAATTTTTTTTCATGATGTTGTATGTTGATTCGAGTATGTCGGTAGCATTTCTCAATGATGAAGAAAGAAAAGAAACGGAATCCTAAGAAGAAGAAGGACAAACAACCATTATGTCCATCCGGATCATTTTTCATCATATTTGAGGATGTAACAAGCCGATAAATGGAGAGAATGAACAACCACAAGTGGAGCAAGAACAAGAGGTTCAAGAAGAGGTACGAGTTTAAGAACAAGAGCAGCAAGCTATACATGAAGAGAATGCGAATCCTAAAATGCAAATCCGGAGAAATGCACAATCAATAGACTCGAAACTCCAAGCAATTATAGAAGAAATGAATGAACCTACACATAAAGTAGGTATAATTATGATTTCAAGTTAATATATTATGAATATGAATACACCTTGCATTACAAATTTATATACTTTTGGTATAGGATCTTCAAGTAAAAGAAAAAGAGGGCCAACAATAATGAAAGAAGTACATACACGGGCCTTTGAAGATAAAAAGCCTATTTTCCTAAATGAAGCAAACCAACTAGTAGGCCCCGATGATAAGACTTTGAATGAGTTTAGTAGCTTTTTGGGAACATTGGCCCGAAATGGAAGTCTCACACCATTGAATCACGTTAATTGGCGCAAGATACCTACTAAGGAAGTGTTATGGGAATATGTTTTAGTAAGTAATTCAGCTTTATGTCTTTCTATTTCTCTCTTTACAATTGGCATAATTTTCTCGCCTAATACATGTAGTTTATTCAAGAATAAACCGATGAACCCCATCATTTTATTTTTAATGTAGAAAAAATACATAGTTCCTTCCAAAGGCAAGAAATGGGTTTTAGCTACAATAGGAGGTTGTACAAATGCCGATTAAAGAAGGATCATTATTACAAGTACAAAATTTACAAACTTAGAATGCTAAATCGTCTAAAACACATTCCGGAGGATAAGTTTAGAGAATTATTGAAGTATTGGAATTCAAATAATGCCAAGGTATAAGACTATGGCTCAATTTTGTTTATATCATCAAAGTTTATGCTAATGCTATTAATTGAAATTATTATGTAGATTATGGTAGAGATAAATATTGAAAATCGCAAATGAAAAAAGAATATGCACACAATGGGTAAAAGGAGTTTCGCTAGGATAAGAAAGAAATTGATAAGAATCATTACTTTGTTTTCTTTTTCACTTTTAAACATTCTTGTTAAATTTCTTACTAAAATTGATGTCACCTTTTTTTTTTTTTTTCAAATAAAGAATGTGCACCATTGAGAAATTTAATACAATGGATAGGCTAAATTTTGAGAGTTACTAAGGTCGCTTAGTATCATTGATAAAGTTAGTTTGTAGTTTATTACATGAACCTCATAAGGGGCTTTTTTTTTTTGGGTGTCTTTGGAGGCTATTGGTAATAGTTGCACGTTGATATTGGAGGGTTTTTGGTGAGTTTTGGTTTGCTTTTTGGGGGCTTTGATTATGTGTTTTAGGTTTGGTTTTGAGGTATTTTGGGGTGTGTTTCGGGGGCTAAAGGCGTTGTATGGTGTGCAACCAAAGCCGGCAAAAAGCCGAGGCGAGCAACCGCGCTAGCGTGCCGGCATGCACATTGGCACTGCGGGGTCGGCGGGCATGCTAACACGCATGCTCGGCCTATGGGTCGGCGTGCTTGGTGCGCATGCTACAATTATGTTTATCGAACTCCATTAAGGAGTTGTAATTATTTAGTCATGATATTTTATCTTCACTTTATTCAATTTATTGTAGGTAAAATATGTTTCATGATAAGCGACGAAGATGCAAAGGAAAATAAGAAAGAACCAACCCATTCTGAAATTTTTATTGAAACTCGAAAAAGAAAAATCGGACATTCTTATAAGGAATCGGATGAGGATATAGTTACGAAGATTGTAAGAACTTTCAATATTTCATTTCCTTATTTTTTAAATTTATAAAAAAAATTTATTACTTTATCATGTACTTGTTTGAACTACATTTTTAAGGAACTTATGATTCCATTGTAGGCTCGAATGCGAGAAGTGGGGTCTCAACATTCAAGTGAATGTGATCAATCTATTGACGCATTTTCTACGGTGATGGGAACTCGGGATGCGACACCGGACGTGTTATGTTATATAGGAGGGCTATCACACCATCCGATTTGAAAGGCAAAGCATACCTTGATCAATCATCCGTGAAAGTTCCCGAAGATGCATTAAATGCCATAAAAATAGATGTAGAAGAAAAGATGGGACAAGAAATTACACAAGAAATGAAAAAAAATGGAAGAAAAGCTAGAAGAGCAGAAAGCTACTTTGCATCAAGAAATAATGCTATCGATCCTAACATAGCTCTAAGGTTTGAATCCAAGTCTAAATGTGAATCTTGAGATATTCAAGACATTGTCCGTAACTACACAATCCCCAAGAGATGCTAATAACGCACTAAGTATAGGGAATCAAATAAGAATTTCACCTTCATCGGGTAACAATCATAATCTTTAGGTACTAATTATTTTAATATCCGCTATTTCATAAAAACACAAGTTTAATTATTGTAATTATTGTATTTCATTGCTAATTAATCTTTTTTTCCCCTAAAATTGTAGGTTGCCAAGTGTTTTCAACTACTTGAAGTTGGAAATCAACTATTAAATTTGTCTAGTATGAACTTTAAACCTTTTTTTTTTTTTTAATATTGATTTTTTGTTGTGTTTTTTAATGATGTTTAGATATTTGGATTATTATGTTTCTTGTAATAGGTTACTTAATTATTACAATTATGGTAACAAACTTCTTAGATTATTAATTTTCTTGTTATTAATTAATTGATTAATATTTGGAATTATTTTTACAAAATAAATATCTATACATCACAATCATTACATTTGATTAAATATTTATTGCAATTGAAAAAATCAATTGGAATAATATTACAAATTATTGCGTTAACTATTATTAAATAATGTTGCATTATCATGATAAACCGTTGCATTACATGTATTGAGGATTAATTTGTATACCGCAAACCGCTACATAAAAACAACAAAACCGTTGCATAATGTAATAGAAAAGCTGCGACCAATAAAAAAAATCGTTTCATAGTGTATCACGTCGACCGTTGCATTAAATGATTTCAACTGTTGCATACTATGTCATCGAATCGTTGCATTATATGATTTCAATCGCTGGATAGCATTCCGGACAAACCGTTGCATAATATAATTAAACCGCAAGCATAATATTTCATAAAAACCATTGCATTAGATTATCCGAACCGTTGTATGAAATATGATCATACCCGTTGCATATGATACGCTAACCGTTGCAATAGTTTTGACCAAAACCGTTGCCTTGTCCTTCGACAAATCGTTGCATAAAATACCAAATAAACCACCGCAATTGAATGGTTTTATGCAATGGTATGTGTTCTGTTGCAAGAGAATATAGAAACCGCTACATTAACCTATTGCAACGCTAGTCGGATGCATGGTCGGTAAACCGTTGCATATGTGGTAATGCAGCGATGGTATTTGTTTGTGAAGCGGTGTTAAACCGCTGGATAAGGCTTTATATGTTGTAGTGATGTAGGAGCCAATGGCAATCCAAGAAAGCCTGGATAATACAAATTTTGCGGACACACTACAAAGCATCCAACTTTAATTCCCGAATCTCATAGTATGAATATCAAATTTAAACAAACATGAAAGGTTGCGGTGGTTCTTCGGGAGAAAAAGATAGTAAGATAGGGAGGAAGGATGTTTGTTTTGTGTGCAATGTAACGAGTTGCGGATCAAGATATCACTTACTAAAGAGAATGTTCTATTGCAATGTCATTATAATTTGAGAATTAGGGGGAAAAAAAGATGCCTTTTTTATTGAAGATTATTATTATTATTATTATTTTGTAAATTACTTAAATTTTTCTTTATAGTTTGCGGTTAATCTCCAATCTATTTCTATAAGTTTAATTTCTTCAAAGTTATCCATGAATACATGGTCTTTCTCTAATCTATCTTTTATGAGATATTTTCATCAAAACAAATGAAAAGACCCTTACATGATAAACTCAAACCAAACCTGATTTATTACAAAAAAAAAAAAAAAAAAGCCATTAAATTAACAAAAATAAATAAATAAATAAATTTTAACACTAGATGGCAATTAATTTTTTTTTGCCAAATTTTTAACAAATTTGATGGGTTTGAGTTCCTAAAGTAAGAATATGTTTGTCATTTTGTATGAAAATATATACTAAAAAGATATGTTAGAAAATGATATTAAATATCAAGATAGATCGAGAGTAATTAGACTAGCAGGATCGATTGAAAAATGAGCTTAAAATATAAGAACAAGGTATCCTTCTTCTTTTTTATTTTTATTTTTTGGGCTTTGGATGAGAAGAAATGGAGAGAGAAAGGGATTGTGACTTCTTTTATGTGGGTGTTTTCGTATTTCTATAGACTAAGGAACTGTAAAAAATTAATTATTGTTAACTAAAAAAAATATTAATATACTCAGATACATGTGATGGATACGATGGATCTTACACAGCGAAAGTGCATTATTTTAATAAATAATATTAAGCCTGCACCACGGTGGGAAAAAAGAGCTGAGCTACATTATTTCGGAGAAAAACTCCGACATTGATAATAAGCATCGCAGTCATTCACTTGATCGGACATGGTTAGGCTGTGGTTTTGAAAATTGCTTAGGGCTTGAATACGAGAACCATCACTTGAAGTTGGGCTTTGGAGTCGATAGTGTTATGATTTAGACCAAAACAAAGCTCCCTAGGTGTGGATAAGAGAATAACTGCAATAACTTGTTATTGATTTTGTCCAGTTGGGAAGTATCCAACGACACTATAAATACGCATCCTATGTGGAGTAACATCGGTTCCTCTAACTTCAGCCATATTTTGGCTCACAGAAGACTGGCCAAGACAAATTGCAGGTGGTATTTGAGGAACAATTAGGCTGTCTAGTTAGGTACCTATTTTTTGGAGCAACGATTTGAGGATTGATCATGCTTTGCTCATTGACATAATTTTGAGCTAACTTAGGGCTGAGAGAGAGAACAAGATTGTTCTCATTAAGGGCAGAACTTGAAACATTAAAATTGTTAGCCACAGGTGGAGCGTTAGAAAAGCTACATGAAGAGAAGGAAATTCAACATAAAAATTGCAAGAAGTTAAAGGCTTAGTTTGTGAGGTGCATTAGGCTTTTCCACTTTGATCAAAAAAAAAAAAAAAAAAAAAAAAAAAAAAAAAAAGAAGAAGAAGAAGAAGAAGAAGAAGAAGAAAGAAAGAAAGAAAGAAAGAAAGAAAAAGAAGAAGAAGATATTTTATTTTTTATGCAACAAACATTAATAGGTGATTCCACAATAGATCATATTTTACAAATTTCAGATTTTTCTATATAACATGACAAAAAATGAGTCATTCAATAGGGAAAGAATATCTAACCACATCGAAATTTCAAATTTGTCTACATAAAGTGACCAAAAATGAGTTATTTAATAATAATAATAATAATATCTAAACTTATCAAAATTTCAAATTCTAAATTTCGTCTGTATAAAGTGACAAAAAATGAGTTATTCAATAATGCCCTCATTAACAACTGCCCTCCAAGGCCAACTAGCCTGACCATATGGTCTTAGATTCTCTATTAAGGTTGTGTCAGCCTTTTAGTACCAAAAGATTAACGTGAGGGGTGTGAAATTGGTACCATATCAAAATTTCAAATTCATCTATATATAAAGTGACAAAAAATAAGTCATCCGATAAGAAAAGAATATCTAAACCATATCCGCATAGATTGCAAATCAGTTATCCCAAAACGGAAGCCTAATTAATGCTTTGAAGAATGGTTGGACTCCGTGAGATATTGCCTTTTGTGCACTAGGGAAGGCCCAAAGCCTATTACCACCCTTGGATCCAAAAAAGTTCACATCAGCATAACTAAGAGTATGTTAGATGACCTATTTAAATAATTTAAAAAATTAAGTTGTAATACTTAATATGAAAAGTTTATTTGATAATCTAAATAATCTCATATTTAAAATTTAAATTCAATTAAAATCTATTTAATTAGGTAAGTTAAAGTTTTTAACTTAAAACTTTTTGATTAATACACTCGGTTAAAAGATTTTTAAAACTTTTTAAATATAACTATATAACCCTCATATATTCTTATAACCATGGTATAGGCAACTACGACAACCCAAGAGCTTCTTAAAGATAATATTACTAAGAAAGTCTAGGCACCACTAATCTAGGTCTCGACCTTTCACCTTCTTTGCCTTTTCCCAGCATTGTTGCTTCACGCTGTAAGGGAAACTCCTTGGTTCTTCAAAGAGTCCATGACCGGTAGTGATTGGGTACCATTGTTCACTTAACAATTCAAGGTTATCGACAATAGAGGCGGAGGAGCCGAGGGTGGATTTGCATGACCTTGGTGGATATAGGCTGGATCTCGAGGCTTTGGATGGGAAAGAGAGGCGGGTGCATGATACAACAATTAATGTTATCTTAGATTGTGTTTAAATTTTTTATTAATAATAATTTTTATTGAATTTTTATTTATTCATTTATTTATATACACAAATACATCTATGTATATATTTTTATTTGTATTAAAAAATATCATGTTACAATTACAAGGCTAAAAATTGTTATGTATATAGCCTTAATATATTCGAGTAAGAGTACTTATTAAACAATCTTATTATATTCAGTACTTAATTTTTAGTAAATACCAAATAGCTTGTCAACAACATATTCGGTACTTAATTATTCAACACTTAAAATTTAATTTGTAACAAATTCAGCACTAAATTTTTAGTTTTATTAAGCACCACCTTAGTGATGTTGGATCAAAGAAAAATATATTAATTTATTTTGTCATTTGTTTGATCTTGCATGTCACGTTTTCAATTGTCACTCATGAATTGTATGGAATTCCTTCATGTTTTTAAGAGAAAATAACCGAGTTATATTTTAAAATTTGTTGTTATTTCTAAATTTAATGTTTTAAAATAGGTGAAATGTAACGCCTAAAATTTTCTCCTTCATATTATGTATATGTATGCTTGTGGTTGTGTTTTATTCTCATTCTTGTTTTATGCATATGATTGATATCTTAATTACTTTTATTATGTGAGATGTTTTAGATTAAGAAAAAAAGGTCATTTTAGTTAGTTAACCTTGATTAAATTTATAAAATGAGATGGATCAAGTAATGGAAATTGTGAGTCTTGAATGGAAATATAGAAGTGAGAATTAAAGACCTAAACAATTGGTAGGGTTCTTTGTTTTAAAGGGGAGAGGAATGATTGGATTAGTGATTTCCCCTATCTTTCTTCCTTCCTTTTGATCTTCCTCTCAAACCTTAACCCTCCCATTTCAATTCCACTCGTTTCTCACCCATTTCTAACTTATCGCACCCCCAAAAAATAGAATGAAATTTTAACATAATCGAGATAATACCTAAGAGAACATGTACCAAATTTCAACTCAATCTAAGATCCCTAACCCCTTTTTTATCAAGTCGTAATTCTAGACGAGTAAGTTCTAGAATTTACACTAATTCCCACAACCTTAAAACACTAGTAAATAAATTTTTTTTTTTGAATTTTTTATAGGAGTTACAGTTGCCTTTTAACTAGCTACTGTAAAAATTTTAGACCAAAATAAAATATCTAGCCTTGGTTGTCGGCATGAAGAACAAAACTATTTAGTTTGGAATTCTAATTCGTCGATAATTTAACAAGCAATAAAACAAGAAAAATAAAGCAAGCCCAAATGTCTCACCCCTAAGAAGAGTTCCACTAATCAATTTGATTTAGAAAGTACTTCCAATATACATTTATCAAAATTCCACCGATGTAATTTTGATCTATCCCCACCTTAGTCGACGAATCTAAAGATGTGTTCACAACCTCTTAGCTAGTCCAAACAAAAAACATACTCAAAAAGTTTCAAAAAATCCACTCTAATTTTTATTCAAATATTCATCAAATTATAAACTGAAAATTAACATAAAATTGTGCTTAAATACTCATACAAAAATCTAAATTGAAGTCGGTAAGGTGGAAATTTCCTCCCTGGTTGATTCTTCCTCCTTTCATATTTAGGACTCTTTTCCTAATTTGACTTAGACTTATGCCATCCATCTTCAATTGAGACTTTATTAATTCAGCCTATTTAAATATGGATCCACATATTACATGGACTCAAAATAAATAAGAAATTCATAGCAAATAAGGATCCACATTACACAAGGATTAATTTGTCCATTAGGCCATATGCGGCCATGTCCTTATAAAATAGAAAATACAAAACTTATGAGGAATAATTAGTTAGATCAAGTTATTACAATTAAAATTATCCCAACTAATTAAAATAGCACCCAAATAAATAAAATACAAGCCAAATAAATAAAATACAATTAAAATGATAGGATAAGGTTGAAAGTTTCGACCTCAATAAAAGGTCAAACTTTCGACCAAATGAGAGGGTAGATGCTCCCGTGTCAAAAGATATGATTTTTACTATGATTTTTGGTTATTTGATTTATTTTTAGAGGATTCTTGATGATTATGAAGTTGGATTGTGAAGAGTTTGTCATTTAAGTTAAGATTGAAAATGTTAAGGTTTGAGACCCATTAGGAAAAAAATATGATTTAAGTAACTTTAATTGGTTAGATTATGATTAATTATTTTGGGTTAATAATTTATGAATTTAACTTAGAGGTTAATTAGTTAGATTTTATTATATAAATTATTTTGAGATTTAATGGATTAAATTGACATGTTGTATATGTAGGATGTTGTATAGATTAGATGGAGCTAAAAATTTAGATGTGGCTTATAGAAGTGTTTTTGTAATGATAAAGTGTTTTAGAAAGGTTGAATATGTGATTTATGGGAGTGTTTTTGCGATTATAAATCAATTTTTAAAAAGGTTGAATGATGATAAATAGTGTAATACAAATTTTGGGATTTATTAGTTAATTGTTGAGTATGGAGTTTATTTATGAGTTTATTTATTTAAGTAAAACATTTTTTATAAATTGTTTTACTAGTTGTAATTCAATTCTTTGAGGAGTATAATTATTCAATTTTAAAGGATCTAAGGTAAGCATAGTTCAACTACCCACAATGACTTTATCCGTGAATGTGTGATGTGATTAAATGAGTCTTTATGTGCATTTTTATGTTCATTTACATCATGAGCATAGATTTACATATTTTATAAAATGCATTAAAATCATGTTATGCATGAAAAGCAAAGGTTTTGGAAAAGGTAAAGGTTTTGGTAATGAAAAATAGTAAATGTAAGATTTGGTAACGACATAGTTTTGGTAAAGGAAATATGGAGATTATTTAGTCTCACATACTTTCATGTAGAAAGATCATCTACTATGCTTTGGAGAACAAGATAAGGACCATGAAGTCAAGGTTGACTCTTCTTCAACTCGGAGAATATGATGTGGGTGCATCCACTTTCCCATTTGGCCGAAAGTTTGGCACTCTCAACTAGCCAAAACCTTCGACCCTCTACCCTATCTATTTTATTATCTTTTATTTATTTGGGTCATATTTATTTATTTAGGTTATATTTTAATTATTTGAGATGAATTTAATTTTATAAACTTGAGCTCATTAATTATTTCTCATCGATTGTGGATTTTCTTATTGAATTAGGATATGGTCGAATATGGCCAAAATGGATGAGTAAGCCTTACGTTTTATGGATCCTTATTTGTTGAGAATTCCTTATTTATTTTGGATCCAAATAATATATGGATTAACAAGGATAAATTAATTAATTTCTAATTAAATATGGAGGACATAAGTCCAAGTCAAATTAGAAAAATAGTCCTAGTTAGGAAAAGAGGTAGAATAGGCCAAGGAAGAAAGTTCCGCCTAGTCAACTTTACTTTAAGGTATTTTTGTGTGAGTATTTAAGAACACTTTATACTACTTTTTCAATTAAAATTTGATGAATATTTGAATAAAAATTTAGATTTTTATCTATAACTTTTTTGTATCTCCTTTGTCCGGATCGGCTAGTACAACATAAACACATCTTTAGAGTGATCGACTAAGGTGCGCTTAGATCAAATTGCATTAGGTAGACTCTTGATGAATGTATCTTATAAATTCTCTCTAAATCAGCTTAGGTAGATTATTAGCTTAGGGGTGAGACGTTAGGGCTTGCTTTACTTTATTGGTTTTTTTTTCTTGATAAATTACGGGAGATTAGGATTCCAAGAATGAATAGTTTTGGTCTTCATGCTAATAAAAAAAGGCTAGAAATTTTATTTTGGTCTAAAAGTTTGATACATGTCTTATTTTGGGGTTGATTTAACTTATATCAAAAAATCAAAAAATAATAAAAATATTTGCTTGTGTTTTTGGCTGCAAAAGTTGGTGTAAATTCTAGAAAGTATTCTTTCTAGAATTTTGACTTTGTAAAATCTAAAATTTGGTAAACATATGGTTCTAGGTAGTATCTAGGTTTTAAAAACATTTTAGCCAAATTTGAGTTGTTTTACCGAGAGATTGCCCTTCCTAATTTTTAGATATTGGGATTGTTGGTGTGGAGTTTGCGTGATTATGTTTATGCTTGTATTAAAAAGTTTTTTAATTGAGTTTTAACCTTTGATTAAGGATTTTTTAAGGTTTGATTTAGTGATATTTGAGGTTGGTTTGTAACTTGTATGTTTCAGCCGGGGTTATTTGGTTGTGGCTTATTGTTTGCATTTTCCAAAAGATGTAGCATCTCTTGATCTAACATCAATGACCTTAATGATAAACAATTTTAGAAATAAACTTAAAAAATAATTTGGCAAATATAAGTTTTAAGAGATACTTTTAGTATTAGACTAAACTCAGTACCTTTATATAGAAAAAGGTGCCTTTACACTTAAATAGGCATAAACTCATAACATAATAAGATTAAACATTTACTTTCAATATGTGTACAATGTAGCCTACCTTATGTAAAATGTGGTGGTAGTTGTCATACCCTAAAATTTTACTCATTTTTCTTTTATTTTAGTTTTATTTTATGTTTTTATTATTCATCTTGTTTTATGCAAAATGAAAACAAACAAAAAAATAAAAAATATTTTCTTTTATTTATTTATAATTCAAAAAAAAATTACAAAAAAGAAATAAAAAATTTAAAAAAAAAAATTGGAAAAATACAAAAAAGAAGAGATAGAGGGACAGCTTCCGTGCATCCCTTGTGCAATTTTTTTCTACACCTTTATGCGGTTTCATGCTATCTTCCCATGTTGAATTGTAGCTTACAGCCCCTCCTACAATAACTTGCAAAGCTATGCTCGCAGATCCTTTATCCCCGTAATTCCCGCACAACCCCTTCGAGTTAACAATTCCGACCTCTTTTACGACCCCATAATCTTCCTCCACTTGCAGCCTCTCCCCCTACTGCGGCTATCTCCTCAACAACCCATAAACCTCCCTCCTAGGTCAACAATTTCTACATCCCATAAACTCAACCCCGCACGACTCCAACTTGTCCCGCAATTGCCACCCACCTATAGCAACCCCTACCGCCGTAATTTCTACAACACCACCCTACGACCTCCTCTACTTCTAGCGAGTCTCACCATCGCCACGACCCACAACCAAGTCCCATCCAACCCTCCCACTTGACAATCCCGTAGAAGAAAAATCTCACACCATCATGGTGGAGAACCAAACATTCATGCATATATATAGCAAAAACAACAAGGAAAAGAGGGGTGAAGTCCGAAAATTAGAGAAGAGTAGCAATAAAAAAAAGAAAAGGAAATCGATAGTAAAGAAAAAAGGAGAAAATCCAAAAAAAAGAGAGAAATTAAATTTACTTGAATTGAAGCTGCAATCCACATCCATTTCCACCAATTCTTTTAGGTAATTCCCTCTAATTTCTCTTTAATTTCTATTTTAACATAATTTAGGTTTTGATTTAAAATTTGAGGATTTTTCAAATTGTGGAAAAATTGAAAAAATAGATTTGGGGGTTTTGCTAAAATTGAGTCCTAAAGGGTTTGAATTGACTTGATTTCATGAGAAATCAAGTCAATTAAGTCTAATTGGAAGAAAATTGAAGAAAAATCAAACCTAGGTTTCGGCCTAAAAAAATTGAGAATTTTTGAAAATTGATTTTGGGGCTTTTCGATCTAGAGGGAAATTAATAGTTCTAGGAAAAAAGAAAGGAGAAAAATTAGGTGGCCATGGATGAACCATCACTGGTTCATCCATGGCGATAGCAAAGTTTTTTTTAGAAAGAGAGAGAACGGGAAAAAAGGAGGACGAAAAAAGAAGAAAGAGAGGAAAAAAGAAGAAAAAGAAAGAAAAGAAAGGGGAAGGAAGAGGAACGAACCTCCACCGGTTCATCCATAGAGGCTGGAGCTAATGGAGAAGAAGGGAAGAAGAAAAAGGAAAAGAAAGAGAAAAAAAAAAAAGGGTGAAACGGGAGAGAGAGGAGAAAAAAAGAAATAAGGGTTTTTGATCCAAGTTTTTTTAAACAAGGGAGCTAAATGTGTTTGTGGGTTGGGTTAAACCCAACCCACATAGAAATGGGCTAGACTCGTCCAACTCGTTTCCAATTTTTTTTTAAGAGCTAAAGTGCAAACCCAAAAAAAAAAAAAAAGAGTAAAAATAAAAAAAAAGTCTTTATTTTTATGGATATTGTTATTTCATATTTAATTTAGATATTGAATTGTCTTTAATTATTTTAATTAATGTAATTTTTAATATTGAGTTTATTTTATGCATGTTTGTTAGTTTATGTTAACTTATAATTTAATATTTTAATTGTCCGTAAATATTTTAATTAATGTGATTTTAATTTTGAATTTATTTTATGGATGTCTCGTTATTTAAATTTCAATATTTGAATTTTCTTTCATTTATTTAGTTAGTGTAGCTTTAATTTATTTATTTAGTAACTAGGCTTGGTAAGTAGTGGGTGGAGGACTCGTCAAGTTTCTTAATTCTTTAGGGATCGATGATGGTTTTTAACCAAATAAAAAAAAGAAAAAATAATTATAAAACTTTTGATAAAGTCTCCTATCCGATAGGGACTGTTGTTAGCAAAAAGAAATTATTTTAATAAACAAGTGTTTTTTGACATACCGGTTGTGTCGAGACTCAAACAAGTGGATCCGATGTTTGAATCAACGTGTCTCTCGATGGAAGGGGTCCAAAGATCATTTCAATACGATGCCATGCTCACAAATAAAAAAACTTAATTTGGCTTGAAATAAAGGACTTGAAAAATTGGTTGGTAAAAATAAAATACTTTAAGAGATAAATTTAGGACTAAGCTAGACGTGGTACCTTTTTTAGGAAATGACGCTTTTGGGTGATCAAATATCTTCCTAAAAACGTAACCAAATCCTTACCATAGAATCTTTAAAATAGTGCCCATTTTAGGTTCCTAGTTCCTTCAATAATAGGTGGCAACTCCAAACTCGTAAAATAATTCGTAAATAAATTTGGTACATTTTAGATTTTTAACGGGAGTCCCATTCGACGTCGGATAGCGACGGTAGTGATTTCAATCATTCCTACCCATAGCTAAACCTTTTCCTAGATTTTTGTGCAAACTAGTCATTTTGGGTGATTGTTATCTTCTCAAAGATATAACTAAATCATTACGTAAAATATTTTAATCCAATACCTTTTTTAGATTTCTTAGTTCCTTTTAATACTAGGTGGTGAATTTGAAACCTTATTAATTCTTTATTCTTTAGTAAACAAATCTTGAAAGTCCCATAATATCAGGTAGTGGCACTCTTCTACTTCTTTTATCAAAGGTTTTTATAGATCCGAGGCCCAAAGTGCCCAATCCTAAGCTCCAACACAAGTGCTTGCCTTATCTCGATAGGAGGTTATAACGAGTACTAGAAATTATTTCTAGTAAGATCTTTGTCTTTGAATTCGAATTATATGCATTGATAAATCCTAAGTTCACACATTTTTTTTTATAAAGTTTTTCATCTCAATTATATAAAAACCTAGATTGGGATATGAATTACTTGTTAGCACACCATTAACGGATTTGATTGTCGTGAACAATGTTTACTAGGATTGTGTAATCTAAATTGACAGAACTAGATTGTTTGCTTATTAATGTCATTTTAGGATTTTGATATTATACTTGTTCTTTGATTAGCTAAATAAACATCATGCCATGGTTAATTGTTTCACTAAGGAAGTAGTATTTGAATTACCTGGTCAATAGAGAGTTGTATTTTAGAGTGAAATTTAGCTTGTTCCCACTTGCTTGATATCAACTATTAAGGCATTCATAATGATTATAGGGGCTTATGAAGTGTATTTATGTATGTAATGGACATTAGTATTGTGGAGGAAAAAATTGAAAACATACTAGTGATTAATGAGTTCCTCTATGTGTTTCAAATTGATTTGTCGGGTTTACCACCATATAAAGATACAAAGATTACTATTGAACTAGTACCAAGCACAACACCTATTTTTATTCCACCATATACAATGGTACCACATAAGTTGAAAGAATTGAAAACTCAATTATAAGAATTACTAGATAAGGGTTATAATAGACCTATAATTTCTCCATATGGCATTCTAGTTTTATTTGTAAAGAAGAAAGATGGTACTTTTAGGCTCTGTATTGATTATAGGCAACTAAGCAAGGTTATGAGAGGATGACTTATTTGATCAGTTACAAAAAGCATATATATTTAGTAGGATAAATTTGAGGTCCGACTACTTTCAACTCAAGATAACAACGAGTAGATGTACCTAAAACAACTTTTTAGATGATGGACGATCATTATGAAAATTTAGTAATTATATTTGGTTTAATTAATGCACTCATTGTCTTTATGGCCTTAATGAATAAGATATTTTATCTTTATCTAGATAAATTTATGATAGTATTGATTGATGATATTTGGCGTACTCAAGTACCTAGTCGTAACGTGAATGACATTTGAAAATTATGTTACAAACATTGAGAGAAAAACAAATATAAGCTAAGTTTAGAAAATGTGTGTTTTCGTTGGATTAGGTGGTATTTCTAGGCCATGTTGTTTCTATTAAGGGTATTAAAGTGTACTTGAGAAAATTAAAGCCGAGGTCAAGTAGGAACTGTTGAAGAATGTTGTAGAAGTTTGACGTTTTTGGGTTTAATTGGCTATTGCAGATGGTTTCTAGAGGGATTTTCAATTATAGTAGCATTATTGATGAAATTACTTAAAAAAACATGAAAAATTTTAGTAGACTAACAAATGAAAATAGATTTTTGAAGAATTAAAAGCTCTATTGACTTTAGCTTAAGTATTTGGAAACTCTAACGGAATTGGTGAATTTATTGTATACATTGATACCTCACATCAAAGTTTTGGTTGTGTTTTGATGCAATATGACTAGGTAATCGTATATGCATCTAGATGACTAACATCATTCGAGCCATTTTCTTTATCCTATGCATGATTTGGAGCTCACTTGTTGTCATGTTTACATTAAAAAATTAAAGGTATTATTTATATGGTGAGTCGTTTTAGATTTTTATAGACCATAAAACTTTAAAATTTTTGCTGCGTTAGAAAGAATTAAATATGAGGTAGAGGAGATGGTTAGTACTATTGAAACATTATGATTGCACTATAGAGTATCATCCTAAAAGGCTAATGTTGTAGTTGATACTTTCGGTAAAAACTCGGCGACATTAATTTCATAAGTTTGGAGGGACAATCTTTACCTTCATCAATTTGAGAGCTATGAATGTTGAATTGAATATGGATTGCAGTGGAGTCATGTTAGCTATATTCAAGGTTTGACTTATATTGGAAGAAAGAATTAGATGGGCTTAGTGTTACAATTCTAAAATGGATAAAACTATAGAAAATGTTAAATATGGAAAATCTATAGATTTTATCATTTAGACTAATGGCACATTGATGATTAGTGATCGAATTTGTGTTCCATAGATTGATGGTCTTCATTGGGAAATTTTGGAAGAAGCTCATAATGCACCATATGTTATTCATCCCGGTAATGCAAAAATATATGAAACTTTATGAACTCATTTTTTGGCCTAAGATGAAAAGGGATGATACCGATTATATTTCTAAGTGTCTTATAAATATATAAAATCAAACATCAAGCTTTGTTGGATAAGTTGCAACCGTTGCCTATTCTTGAGTGGAAATGAAAAAGAATCACCATGGACTTTATGATTGGATTTCCCAAGACTTTGAAGAAGAATGATGCTATTTGGTTCATTATTGATTGATTAACTAAATCAACTTATTTCTTACCTATTAAATGGGGTTGTACACTTGAGTAGTTGGCCAAGAGATACATTGATGAAATTATTAGATTATTTGGCATGCCATTATCAGCTCATTTCTTACCTATTAGACAAAGATTTATATTTTACATCATGT